GTACATAGTTATCCAGGATGGGGTCTGGTTCAGCCTGTGGGGAGACATAGGGGGCCATCAGGAAATCCTTAATCTTGCTAACTTTTCCACCCCACCCTCTGGCACATCATATCCTAGAGGCCACCCACCGTAGGGCGAATGGTTACGTTGTCCCACGTCGTCAGGGCAAGGGTGGCAGTGGTAGTGGAGGCTGTGGCCATGGTGGCGGTGGGCTGCATTTTGACACTGAAGAGGACAGGGCCTGCTCTGCTCTGCCACCGGCTGTCCTCTCCCTCACAGGAGCCTCTGAAAAATGAGCCCCCCAGCTTCCCTGTCAGGAACTGCAGCCCACACCAGCGGTGACTCACGGACAGGTGGGACCCTGCTCTCTAGCATGAGCACCTAGTATGGGGGGGGGGGGTTGAAGAGCTTCTCTCCTGGGATTTCCATTTTGCCATCTTTACCACTAGGGAGGTGCCTGTGTGTGTATGTGTGTGTGTGCATGAGTGTTCTAACCACCACCACCTCCCCGGCCGGTGTGGCCGGCCTAGCAAGGTAACATGGGCCAGGAGCCCTGCCCAAGAAAGGGAAAGCACCCCTTGGAGAAACAGAGAGGCCACTTGTAGCCAATCAAGAGATAGCCAGGTACCCCAAATGCCTCTTTTTCACCCATTAGGAAGAGAAAAGGATTGTCCTATTAAGACAGAGGAAGTGCATAGCCAAACGAGTGGGAGGGGCTGTGCCAGTAGGCCCCAAGTCACGACTCAGGAGGTAAAGGTCTCCCTCTGCCCACGCTGGTGGGAGTGGAAAGGACAAAAGAGGCGCATCTGTTCCTGCCCTGAAGAATCTGGTTCCCATGGCAACAGTGCGCAGGCCGCGTTGGGGGGCGGGTTGCCAGGCAGAGCAAGGTGGGGGAGGAGAGGGCGCGGGGGAGGCTGCCTGCAGGGGCGCCCCAAGACGACAGCAAGATGGCTGCTGCGCTGCGCCTGTCCGCTAGTGCTCAGCCAGACCTAGACAGCCTCCAAGTATGGGGGAAACTGAGGCAGGGACTGAGGGAAGGTGAGGGAAGAAGCACTCAGGGAAGGGAGCTGCTCAAAGCTGTACCTGATCTATCCTGCGGCTATTTTGAACCCTGGAGTCTCAGAGGGGCTGAGGCTAGGGCGCTATAGCCTACATCCTCGAATTGGCAATGCGTGTGCGCGCTCCCGAGAACCCCTTCCTGAACGCCGAGGAGCGCGCAGGCTTCAGCATCATCAGCCCCAAAGGTTTGGGGCTGGACAGCAAGGGGGTGGGGTGGGGACTGAGGCCCACGGAAAGGGAAGGAGTGTCTCGAGAGACGATAACCTCAGCATTGCGGGTGAGAGGCTGGGAGGGGGGCGCCTATGTAGGTCGGGAAATGAGTTCAGGAGGAAGGGAGTGGGGCAGAGGCGTAGGGATGGAGACGGGAGGAGACTGCAAAGAAGGATGGAAATGCAGGACGCGGCAGGTGGGCTGCTGGGGGTGGGGCAGACACCTGCTCCCAGCATCGGTGCCCACCACGACCCCCTAGTTGGCCCGGAGATGGGGAGAAAAGCCAGAGCCCAATACCAGGCTCATCCAAACCCTAAGAAGATGGACGCGCCATCGCCCTTGCCCCTTCTCACCGGGGTAAACTGAGGCTAGGGAACGACGTGGGGGGGCAGGAGGGGGGGATCCGGAGGTTGCCACAGCGTGAACAAGATGCAAAGCTGCGCAGGCCTTCCCTCCCCCCCCCCCAGGCCCGCCTGGTTCCTCCGCGCCCTCCCCAGCGGGCACGCGCAACCGCGCGCAAAGCAGCAGGACCGCTGGTCCAGCGGGGCCAGGGCGGGCCCCGGAACCCGCCGCCATCCCCG